TTTATTTTTCTGAGGCTTACAGAACCCTTTGCAGTATAACCCGGGAAGCGCTTTCAAGCGTCCCTCTGACGCCTAAGGCACTGCATCAAATGTGAGGAGTCATTGTTATTATATTATTATTAATTATGTTATTAAGAGCTGTGATGCACATTTGCTTCCAAATAACACGGTTTCCCACAGTCCACATTCAGACAAACATATGATTCGGGATCAAAAACAAATTTCGCCCCCACCCACCCACCCACCCACCCAAAAAAAAATATTCCTTATTTTTTGAGAAATCCCCAAATCTCAGGTGTGAAACCTGTAGCCAGTTCCAGGAATTGAAAGAGGGGGATGGTTCTGAGCTCTGTCCAACCAGAAATATTTACCCACATCATTCCCACCCACTCCCCCACCCCCCCCCCACCCCCACCCCAGCCCCCCACCAAAAAAAAATAAAATAAAATCAAACATCAAATGCTTCTGGGTTGCCATGATTTGCAATTTATTTCACTTTTAGTCGAAGGCTAATCGATAGACGTGGCAGAGGGAATGGGCTGTGAGTGTGTGTGTGTGTCTGTGTGTGTTGTTGTCCTCTGTGGAGAGTTGGTTGAGCTCAAACAGTGCTACTGAACCACAAGACGAGTCGCCTTACATTACATCGCATCGGGGACACAGTGTGAGTCTTCCGATTGCAAATTTACCTTATTTTTTTTTAAAAAAAAGATGTTTTTCTAACCAAACCCCCTCGATGCCTATTCGAACCGAGAATTGACCTAAATTGTACAGGATTGTTGTATTCGTTGATCACACATGTTCTCACTGGGAAAGGAGGATGTGAGACAGTGTTAAGTGGTGTTAAAGGTCTTTTTAATTTTTATTTACATATATATGTGTGTGTGTGTGTGTGTGTGTTACATACTCCCCCCACCCCTCACACTACTCAACTCACAGGACAAAAAGATAATAATAGTACGTTTGACTGCTCACCGTTTTCATTCTCCTTACGCACTAAATCGTTTATATTAGCGAAACAATCAAATTAATGTATTCCCTTTTTCATTACTGTACTTACTTTCTCTCTCTCTCCCTCCCTTCAGAGAGAGAGAGAGAGAGAGAATTTTCAGGCGGTCTGATATATATATATATAGATTACATATATATATTTATGTTATATATATAAAATAAAAATATATAAAAATCTGAGCTGCCTGCTTTTTAGGAATAGGCGTGTAGGGTGTGTGTGTGTAAAAAAAAATCAAGATTCTTCTTAAATAGTGCACCTGGTCTTAACTCTACGGCCGCAGTTGTGGTGTGTTTGTGTGTGAAGGAAGAGAGAAAGTTACTTATGTAGATCGGTTGAAATGCAAACTGATGCATTGTGGCTTTACATATTATGTGTGTGTGTTTCTGTGTATGTGTGTGTTTCTGTGTGTGTGTGTTTCTGTGTGTGTGTGTTTCTGTGTGTGTTTCTGTGTGTGTGTGTTTCTGTGTGTGTGTGTTTCTGTGTGTGTTTCTGTGTGTGTGTGTTTCTGTGTGTGTGTTTCTGTGTGTTGTGTGTGTGTGTGTGTGTTTCAGTGTGTGGTGTGTGTGTGTGTTTCAGTGTGTGTTTCTGTGTGTGTGTGTGTGTTTCTGTGTGTGTTTCTGTGTGTGTGTGTGTGTGTTTCTGTGTGTGTTGTGTGTTTCTGTGTGTGTGTGTGTTTCTGTGTGTGTGTGTTTCTGTGTGTGTGTTTCTGTGTGTGTGTTGGTTTCTGTGTGTGTGTTTCTGTGTGTGTGTGTGTGTTTCTGTGTGTGTGTGTGTTTCTGTGTGTGTGTGTGTTTCTGTGTGTGTGTGTGTTTCTGTGTGTGTGTTTCTGTGTGTGTTTCTGTGTGTGTGTGTGTGTGTTTCTGTGTGTGTGTGTGTGTGTTTCTGTGTGTGTGTGTGTGTTTCTGTGTGTGTGTGTTTCTGTGTGTGTGTGTGTTTCTGTGTGTGTGTGTGTTTCTGTGTGTGTGTGTGTTTCTGTGTGTGTGTGTGTTTCTGTGTGCGTGTACGTGTATGTGAACGAGAAAACCATCGAGAAAGAAACAAAAAAGTCATCAGCAATTATTCGATTGTGTGGAGTAAAGAGTTGTGAAGAGTGGTGCCAGGCAGAGGGGTGGGGGGGGGGGGGGTTGTGGCAGGTAAAGTGGTAAAGTTTGGGGCAGGTGTCTCGGGGGATATCGAGGAGCTGTTTCTGGGCTGGAAAACATCTTCCATTGAAAGGCAGACAAACCAGAGAGAGACAGAGACACACAGAGAGAGAGGGAGGGAGAGGGAGAGGGAGGGGGTTCTCTTGGTGAGGTTATTATCAGTGCATTTTGGCTATAAACCGCTGTAAAGTGTAGCCCCCGACCTGTTGTGTCCCACAGGGACATTAGAGGCCTCCCGGAGAGAGATTGTTTCACAAATCCGTTTGAACTGCTTTTATTTGGAAACTACCAGCCGTCAGCCCGAATCACTGAGCTTTCCCCCCCACCCCCCCCCCCCCCCCCCCACCACCACCAAGTTTCACTTGTTTTTTTTCCCCCAATTTAAAAAAAAAGCGTTTTGTTCAATTTCTGACTTGCTTTAGCAATGTTTTAACGCTTAATTCCTTTCCATTGTTGTGTTTTTATATATATATATATAATATATTCAGTATATATAATATATATATAATATATATATAATATATATATATAATATATATATCTCAGGCCCTATTAAACGGGCAAGTGTTTTTAATTCGATTTTTAGAATTCCATTTTAAACGAATCTTATTATTATTCTCATTACCTGCGATCGTTTTTTATTTAAAAAAAAGTGCTTTGAAGATTTTCGTATTTACAATATATATATATGTGTGTGTGTGTGTGTGTGTGTAGAGATTTTTTAAAAAAAATACCCTATTCGTTCCTAAAAGAGTTGAACAAGTTATTTGCGTTGGCGGTGAATGAACAGTTCTTCCACTCACAAAACAGTTTTGTAAAGAGATCAGTCGAATGAATATACTGTGTCTTTATGTTTCGGTTTTATCTCAGGTTTTAAATCGAGGGAGAAAATAAAAACCCTACAAATATTTTGCAATGGGGGGCAATAAATATCGCGTCGTTAACAAGGCGATTTGCGATTATTTTCCAGTTTTTTTTTGGTGCTTTCTAATCCGATTGGGAGTGAATAAATGCAGTTTTATCTCAACGAGAGTTTCCAGGTGTTTTTTAATTAAGGAAAATTAAAAAAAAAACTTATTTTTGAATAAAAGAAAGCGAAATACCTTTTAAAACAAGGTTTGAAATCCGATCACCCCCCAGAAACCCATCGGGGAACACGCGAACGTGTGCATTTGGGGGTGAAAAAAAAACAGCATTTAAGGTTTCAGCGAACACTCACATCTGAGTTTTAAGGCGAAGAGGTTTCAATTCGAAATTTGCGCTATTTCTGAGGACTTTCGCTCTGTGTGAGTGAGTTATACATTCTGGGCTGTCCCACATTCTAATGAAGTTATTCCCCGTTGTAATTTCCTGATCAAATAGTAACTTGTTCGATACTGGCAAACACACACACACACAGACACACACACACACACACAGAGACACAGACACACACACACACACAGACACTCAGAGAGAGACACACAGACACACACACACACAGACAGACACACACACACAGAGACACACAGACACAGACACACACACACATAGAGACACAGACACACACACACACACAGAGACACAGACACACAGACACAGACACACACACAGACACACAGACACATACGCACACACACACACACAAAGTCTCAACTCCTTTCTCTTAAATCATTTATTGGTTTCTGAAAACAATTCTAATTTCACCTCCACCCCCTTTCCCTCCTCAGCCATTTCCTCTATCTCCTTCTCAATGCTTCGTTCTGATAATATCTCTCTCTGTCTCTCTGTATATATATATATATTTGGTACAAATATATAAGTCCAGACCTTTTTATTTAATATTATTTAGCCTTTCGAATTATTTCGCAGTCACCTTCCCGAATTTAGCAAAGCACCTTCTGAGATCCTATATTCCTAACTCAGACCCAAATAAATTAAAATGTGAGGGGTGGGTTTTATTTTGTTGAGAGTCGCATAACCTTAGAGGTGAGCATTTTTTTTTCTCACATCGCCTGTTTTGGTTTCAAACCCTTCCCGAACTCCCTCGAAAACGCACGAGATATTATATCGTTTGTTTGTCACCCTTTATAAATAAGGAGAGAGAGAAAAAAAAACAGGAGTTAAAACGAAAACCGTGGGTTGCAGTGTATATTCAGCTTAGTGTAGTGACTCTGGACTTTGGTCTGTGTGTGTGTGTGTCTCTCTCTCTCTCTTTCCTCCCTCTCTCTCTCTCTCCTCCTCTCTCTCTCTCTCTCTTCCCTCTCTCTCTCTCTCTCTCCTCCTCTCTTTTCTCTCTCCACCCACCCACCCCCAGGTCCAAAGTTCAGAAGAGTTTTGTAGGTGCGGACCGATAAATAGCAGCCAATAAAATGTGACAGCCTCAAATGTAAACACAATGCGTTGAGCGCTCACATTTGCCCCTGTGTCCTCCCTCCAACGCGACTCTCTTGAAAAGCCTTTCCACCCCCCAACCCCCCCCCCCCCCCCCCAACTCCCCCCCAACTATTTGCATATACCGCTAAGAACCTGTGCCGAGACTTCCCGTCCATTTGCATATTTCTTATATTCTCTTTCCAAACCAGGATCATGGACGTTTGAGCAACCGAACCCTCCCAAGAAACAGCAACAGCGTCTGTGGAATATTGGACCATTTCTCTCTCTCTCTCTCTCTATATATATATATAATATATATAATATACATTATATATATATATCATCACAGAGAGTTTTTTTTAGCAGGATCAAGAGCTAGGACCAAGGACTGTGTGTGTGTGTGTCTTTCTCTCCCCCACCCCTCTCCCCCCCAAAAATAGCTTGATTTTGGGGGTGTTTTTTTTGGGGTGGGGGGGTGGGGGGCGGTGGAGAGAGAGAGAGGGGGGGGGAGAGAGAGAGAAACATGGTCTCCAAATTGACATCCCTCCAACAGGAGCTGTTGAACGCTCTCCTGAGCTCGGGGGTGACCAAAGACCTTCTGATCCAAGCCTTGGAGGACTTGGAGCCTTCCCCGAACTTCGAGGTGAAGCTGGAGAACCTGGCGGGGTCCCCGCTCAAGATGAACGGGCCCGGGGTGGGGGGAGGAGGAGGAGGAGGAGGAGGTGGTGGTGGTGGAGGAGGAGGTGGGAGGGAGGTGGAGGATCCGACACCAAAGCCGTGTTTCACACCCTAACCAACGGGCACAACACTAAGGGCAGACTGTCCGGGGATGAGGTCTCCGAAGACGGGGACGACTACGACACTCCACCGATCCTCAAGGAACTGGAATCGCTCAACACGGAGGAGGCGGCGGAGCAGAGAGCCGAGGTGGACAGGATGCTCAGGTGAGAGCCCACATATTATTATTATTATTATTATTATTATTAGTATTATTATTATTAACGGTGATTATTTATTATCCTTATTGACGGTAATGCTGTGAGACGTGTCGGGCGGAGTTATAATGATAATTCCTTGTAATTTTGACGCAGCGCCCGACCCCGTCCTCCTAATGTACTGCAAACCTGAATTAACTATATATAATATATATGTGTGTGTGTGTAGATATATCTATATATATGTGTACAGTATATAAACAAAGTCACTTTACAGGGAGGAGATCTGATTTAGTGCGCGCGTTGGTTTGGGGTTAAAACGCATCATTAATAATAATGTTTCTCTACACACGTACGTGTGTGTAAAACGTGGACTGTTACAGGTAGAGATTAGATTTATTGTGAATTAAGGGTTAGATTTATCGTGTGTGTGTGTGTGTGTGTGTGTGGATGGGGGGGAGAGGAGGGAGGGAGGGGGGGGGGGGGGAGATTGTCGCTTTATAAAGGAGGGGGTGTTGCAATTTCTTGGGCGACTAATTCTCTGGTTACTAACTATCGCGCAAACAAAAAGGTTTATTATTGGGGTTTAATGTTAGCAACACATCGACTTGAGCCTTTGGCGCACCAGAGACCTATGTGTGTGATCTTTACCGACCTTTTCCCCCTTTTTTTCCCCCCCAAAAAAAATAAACACATCAACGGGGTTTTGCTTTGCAATTTTTTAAATTAGATACGTACGTATATATAATTTTTTTTAAAAAAAGTGATTTGCAAAAGGGAGGCGGTTGTGGGCTTGTGCACACGCAAGTTAGGTGTGTGTGTGTGTGTGTGTGAATGTGTGTGAGTGTGTGTGAGTGTGTGTGAGAGTGTGAGTTCAAAAAAATAAATTGAAAGTTTTTTTTTATTCGCGAGGAATTATTTGGCGATTACGACGATTTTTTTTTGATGATCCGCTCGTCAGTTCGATGGGAAACACGACTTGTTTTTAATGTTAAAAAAAAAGGGAGTTTGAGTTGAAAAAAAACAGCAGCAGCAGCAGCTAACAACCTCCAGACATTGACATCAGGTTCGTCCGACCTGCAGAAACTTACAAGAGATCAGACAGACAGAGAGAGAGAGAGAGAGAGAGAGAGACAGACAGACAGACAGACAGATAAGAGGTAGAGACCGAGAGAGGTAGAGACACACATGGATAGAGAGAGAGAGAGAGACACACACACACACACAGACACACACACAGAGGTGCAGTCGACCCTTCAAGAAAGCATTGGTTTCACTGGTGTGTTTGAGCCCAGTTTCCAATTAGTAATTTTTAGAAATAAATGAATCTTTTTTCGCGTTGGGTGTTCCTCACACACATATATATATATATAACACACACACACTGCATCACAGGAGAGTTTAAGACATCAACTCCCCCCCACCCCCACCCCCACCCACACCTTCAGCCCCAATACACTCTGGAGTGTAACTCGCAACTGACCCCAACTCTCTGTAAGGTGTTGTCTCACCTGAGAGACAACAACTGACCCCAACTCTCTGTAAGGTGTTGTCTCACCTGAGAGCCCATTGACGTTTTCAAGTCGGGTCGGTTTTTGTGTCTGTTCGTGTGTACAGAGCGAGAGATCCGCACTGACTTACTAACCGCACACGCCGGCGATCTGCTGCTTTGGCAGTTCTGATGCATCTGTCACCGATTATGTGATGTACTGAGACAATTTGAGATCGAACCGTTGCTGTTTTACGATCTCCACGTTGAAAGGGGAGAGTTTTGAGTGTTTGTGTGAGTGAGTGAGTGAGTGAGTGAGTGAGTGAGTGAGTGAGTGAGTGAGTGAGTGTGGGGGGAGGGAGGGAGGGGTGTATTTAAGAGTGTAATATTATTAAATTCCCCTTATTATAACAACACGCCGAGCCCCCAGGTTACATTAAGGGGAAAAAGGTGAGAGAGAGAGAAAGAGAGAGAGAAATCATTGAAAGGGTGTGTTGTTTTTTATAAAAAATGTCATTGCTTAGCTTTTTGGGCATTGGGCGACAGAGAGACCAAAACGCAACACACGACACAGAACACCCACAAGTAAAAGACTTTTAAAAAAAATATATATATATATATACTGTATGAACTGTCCCCAAAGAGTTTAAAGTGGGAACACGTGGGGCTGACGTGTGTGTTTGGGTGCCATCCTGGGTTCCTTTTTATACAGTAAATCAGCAGCCAAACAGCACACCGCAATAGGGGAGCACGTTTGATTAGGTTGAATGGGTAACCTGGTTACTCATTGGCAAATCGGTTGTAAAGCCCAGTTGACTCGCTATCACGAAAACCCACGACCCCATTCAGTTAAACAAACAGCCTTTTTTTTTAATAAAGAGAGAGAGAGAGAGAGAGAGAGAGAAAGAAAAAGAAAGACAGACAGACGTGAGCGCAAAAAAATGTTTGGAGACCGGTGTAGACTTTGAGCAAAATGCCATCTGAAGCAGAATGGTCTTTTGCTGTCCTGTCGCTCACAGTGAGCTACACATTTACCCCCAATTCCCATCTCTCTCTCTCTCTCTCTCTCCTCCCTCCTCCTCTCCACACACCCACACACACACACACAAAACTGTAGTCGAGTTATTGAGGTGAAAGCACAGGGATAAAGTCTCATCACCGCAAGTCCCACACCAGATCCCGATGCAAAATGTTTTTTTTTTGTCTTTGTATTTAATGGAGATTATTTTATTTGTGTTTTTTTAAAAAAAAATGGGGACAGAAAGTGAGAGACAGAGACAGACAGAGAGAGAGAGAGAGAGAGAGAGAGAGATTGTCAGAGAATTAATTGCACAAATCTCTCAATCTATCTCAATCTGGAGTGTTTTTTTTCGTTCTGTGAAATGAAGGGAGACTGGAGAGACGAGAGGGAAATCAAAGTGGGGTTGTTTCCAGTGAAATGTACCCCTCTCCCTCTCTCTCTCTCTCTCTCTCTCAGTGTGTGTGTGTGTGTGTCGGTTTCATTCCAATGTACACACAAGTTATTATATGTTTTAAGAAAGTCCTTGTTAAATTGTTACTGGATACGAATGAGCTGGGGATGGATTTGGGAAGGAGAGAGGAAGGGAGATTGTGAGATAGGGAGAAAAGCCATTTTCTCGAAATCTTCCATTTTCAAGGGCTTTTTTTGTATAAAAAGAAAATCAATTTCTTGTGAAATGAGCCCCCATCAACCAGGTTTGATTTCATATTAAAGCCATTCTTTTTTGTGGTGGTGGTGTGTTTTTCGACCTAACGAGAAGCAAAGGTAAACGTTTTTGACCCTCATTTCCCCTCCAAACGAGTTTCCCAACGTTTCCAAACAAACTAAAAGTAACTTTTTTAATAAAAAAAACACGAAAAAAAATAAATCCTCTGGATTTACGCGCAGAAAAACCTTTGGTTTTAGTTTTTTTTAAAAAAAATGGGTCAAGTGGGAACTTGCAAACGCGAAAGGACCACAAATCCGCGAGTTTCTGGGTCGCAGATGCAACTCAGAGCAAACAAAATAAACTATTTCTTATTGACATCATTTCAATGAGACCATCCGATGATTCCGGGGACGAAGGAGGACTTCAGCAAAAGGCGAAGGCAATGTAATGGTCTCTGTATAATGCACCCGAATGGACATAACGGGGAGAAAACTATCGGGTGGTTTGAATATCTTGGAAAATATGAAATATTTCTGAGTTCCAGCAATATAACTGCAGCCCTCACTCACCCTCAATCCAGACAGGAGGTGGGGGGGGGGGGGGGGGGGGGGGGAGAAAGAGTGTGTGTGTGGGTGTGGGGGGGGATAAGAGAAATAACCCAAATGCAGATAAAAAAAAATATAATCTATGGTTTGATGATGATGACAGAGCTATTGTTTATTGTCGGATTTTTATTTAACTCGAGTGGTGTGAAACTTACTGTGTTCACAGGAGGGTTTGCAGTTCACAAGTGATCCAACACACACTCACACTCACACACACTCACACACACACACACAAAAACACCACAGCACAACCCACAACCAGGAGGATAAGTTATTATTTAATTGTAATTATTTGCCCCAGAACATCTGGGGGTATGACTAGAAGGGGGGGAAAGAGAGAGAGAGAGAAAAAAATACCTCTAAACTGATCGATTAGGAATCGTGAATGATTCAATTAATTACCAGTCACACACACACACATAACGTGTGCGAAAGGGACTGGCAATTTGGATGTAACACAGACAGACACCATATATACCCAAAGCTCTGTGGAATGTGTACAGGGAAGATATTTAATATTAAAAAAATGTGATTTAAGTGAAAAACCTTTCGTTGGCTTTGGGGGGGGGGGGGGGATGATCTTTTTTGATTTGGAAATGAAACACACACACACACACACACACACAGAGAGACACATCTCAATCCATTCGTTAATGGCCAACGTGAAACTGTACCCAACCGCGTGAGCGCAAGTTACCGAATAGCGCGTTTTACTAGGAATCTGGGTCACGTTCGGTTACAGTTTCGCTACGAATCGAATGATTATTTTATTCCTCTGCCTTGCGCGAATTTTTTTTTTTTTTTGGGGGGTGGGTTCATGTGCCACTGTAACGTGGGCGCACAGACCTACGATTGAAGTGATGGTGATGATAATAATAATAATAATAATAATAATAATAATAATAATTTGAATCAATATTTTAATACATAATCGAAAACGTGTTTTGAAATGAGATGATGGTCAACTTTTGGAAATATTCCTGGGGGCAGGAGAGGGGGGGGGGGTGTTTTTTGCCCTCAGGAATTTTTTTTAATCTTGTACTGAACTGTACTGTACTGCGATTGAGTTGGGGGGTAAATTCAGAACAAACCCGTAAATGGAGAGAGAGACAGTGGAGGCAGAAAGTGTCCATTCTTTCAAGAGCAAATCGCGTAGATTTCTGTTAGGAAATAGTAAGGTGGGACGCAGCAATAATGATGTGAAGTAGTCCTGGCCTTTGATGTAGCGCCTTATCACGTCTTCGAGACGTCTCAAAGCGCTTCACGGAATATACTGTAATAATAATAATAATAATAATAATCCTTGCATTTGATATAGCGCTTTTCAGTAAAGCGAATTGACTGTGTGTTTTGTGGGATGAAATTCAATAGATTTCCGTTCGGGAATAATATTGTGGGATACGGTATATAGTGTGGGACGTACCGTGTGCATGGGACTGGCAGGATGGTGTTCGGCTCCGCCACTGTTAAGCGCTCTGAGACATTATCCTGCGCGAAGGGCACTATATAAGTGCAAGTTGTTGCTGTTCTTGGTGGTGGAAGGTGAACTGGATGGATCTTGTTCTTCCCTTGCCTAGAACATTCTTATGTTCTTGTTTGTAAAGTGGACCCGATTTCCATTCATTATTGCCCTTTAACCAGTGCGGCGGATGGAAAAAGTCACTCGCATTCTGTGCAAATGTGCCGGTAGTTTTAACTTGTTGTTTTTGTGGGTTCTCAGGGAAGATCCCTGGCGAGCAGCGAAGATGATCAAGGGTTACATGCAACAGCACAACATCCCGCAGAGAGAAGTGGTGGACGTGACGGGGCTCAATCAGTCTCACCTTTCCCAGCACTTGAACAAGGGCACGCCGATGAAAAACCAGAAACGAGCCGCGCTCTACACCTGGTACATCAGGAAACAGCAAGAGATCCAGAGACGTAAGTGCAACAACAACAATAATAATCCTTGCATTTGATACAGCGCCTTATCTTGTCTTCGAGACGCCTCAAAGCGCTTCACAGAATGTACTGTAAAGTGACTGAATTGACTGTATATTTTGTGGGCCAAACGCGGCAGCCAATTGCGCACAGCAGTATCCCACAAACCGTCATGGATTGAATGACCACGTTATTACTTTTTTTTGAAGGGATTATTACCCCCGGAAAAGCAATCCAACAATCAACTAACAACCGGGTTCCTACTTACTCCTAGGTAAACTGAGTTATGTGGAGTAAGGAAACGTGCCTAACGTTTTGTCCTGCTCAGGATTCGAACCCAGATCCTCTCAGTTGCGAGGGGAGTGCTTTAACCAATACACTGCAGGACTCCACAGTAGTCCTCACACCTCCAACCCATTTATCCTGCCATATGCTTGGCTCCCCCGCGCTCCCCACCCCCTTCTCCCCATTTGACTCCAAATTTAGAATGTGTATGGATCATGTTTTTATTACGTAGCTGTGCCTTGGCGCAGTGGTAGCACTTTTGCCTCTGAGTCAGAAGGTTGTGGATTCAACCTCCCACACCAGGACTTGGAATCACATCGTCTGACGCTCCAGTACAGGGCTGGGGGAATGTTGCAATTGTCGCAGGTGCCGTCCTTCTGATGAGATGTTAAACCAAGATCTTGTCTGCCTGCTCAGGTGGACGTTAAAGATCTCTCCCAGCTCTATTCGAAAAGAGAAGGGAATTTCTCACCCCAGGGGTTCCTGGCCAACAATCCCCCCAAATAAAATCGGTCACTCATTCCATGGCTGTTTGTGGGACATTGCTCTGCCCGAACCGTTTGCCATGGTTCGCCCACAAAATACACCATCGAATCACGTTACAGTATATCCTGTGAAGCTCTTTGAGATGTCTCGATGACGTGATAAGTCACTATACCAAATGCAAGGATTATTATTATTAATTCTTGAAACAATCGGCTGTCAGTTTGGCTCACTTGGTAGCATTCTTGCTTTGGATCAGAAGATTGGGTTGGGGTTGGGGGGCGGGGGTTGAAGTACTTCAGTTGGTATTTTGAGTTGAGCTGACCTAAAACTCCAGTACAGTACTGAGGGCACAACACTGCATCGAATGAAGTGCTGTCAAATGTTTTGGACCAAGGTCCGATCTTACCTGTTGAGGTTGAACGTTTAAAACAATATAGTGACCCTTGCATTTGATATAGCGCCTTATCATGTCCATGAGAAGTCTCGAAGCGCTTCCCAGGATTTCGCTATGAAGTGTAGTGTAGTGACTGTGTATTTGTAGGTGAATGGGGCATCCCATGAACAGCCATGAAGTGAGTGATCAAATCGTATCCTGTGAAACCGTTTGAAAAAACGAGGGATTTTCTCCTGGTGTCCCAGCAAATAATCCTCCACATAATTTGGCCATTTCTCTTCATGGGTGTATGTGGAACATTGCTGGGCACAAATTGGCGTTCACTTACCATTACACAGTAGCTGCACTTGAGAGCACTTTCCTCTGAAGCGCTTTTTTATTATACATGCTAATACATGTAAATGTGAGGAATTATTTATGGAAGTGAATCGCTTTCTGTTTTTGGAATCAAATCATTCTGGAGGCTCCAGACATGGAATTAACAGGTGGCAACCGCCTTGCTGAGTGTACTTCTCTATTGACTCCACGTGTATGTGTACTGTAACGCTGCAATAATGTACAATGTTTATAGAGTTCGCTGTTCCCACTCAGCTAAATATAACCCAGTGTCACTCTGGCCGACACAATAGCGCCTCAGTTCCGATCAAACGATTTGAACACAGAGTTTATTCTCTGTTGCCCTCCACCATGACAACCAACCGATGCTTATTGGCAAAAAAAAACGGTGCAGAGAAAATAGAACAAATGTGCTTGTTCTTCTTGTGAACACTGTGTAGAATGTACTGCATTTCAAGGACTTTACACGTCTTGGAGATGGAGGTAATGTTAAGCATAAGATCTGAACCCACATAGGAATACACTATGCTACACATCCACTGGTCCCTTATTCTCACTTTTATTACTGGAATCAATATTAAGGAATCTTGTTAGAAACTGCAGAGCTTCAGTCCCGCCATAAACTATATATATATAATCAAGAAGTTTGCCTCGAAATCCACAGTCACTACACTTTACAAGAAAATCTACAAAGCGCTTCAACTCATTTCAACGTGATGAGGTTGTGAATCAAATGCAATCCGTACTATCATTATTATTTATTAATATAACAAATGGCGAGGTTAAACCATTTCCTTAATGTTGGACTCCTACCCGCACCTGGTTCATTTTTAATGTGGTCAGGATCACTTGATTGACTGAGTGTCTTGCAGTTCATTACCAGCTGTCTCTTGCACTCCCACGTGAAATATAGTAAGACAAACACACTCAAACTATATGGCCCATGTAAAACAATCTACATCTCATCTATTTTACATGAATAAAACCAAGTAGATATAGCTTTCGATTTGAAACCGTGCAGAAATATATTTCCATCCAACAAAGAAAGATACATTAGAGAAATCTTTGATAGTATAACTATGGCATTCTGTGCTCCGATACGCTCTGGCAATATTGCAATAATAAAGAATGTTCATATTGCAACTTACAACAACAACAAAATGACATTCATAGAGCGCCTTTCACGTCGGGAGGACATCCCATGGCGCTGGACAGTCAGGGGTCAGGACCCGAGCGTGGGGGAGGACTGAGGGAAGCAAAGAAATGGGAGGGGACCGAAGGCAACTTACTCAATTTGGTTAGAAATTTCACTCTGTTAATTATTCTACCAACAAGTCCTTTTTGTTACCTCTGTGTGTGTGTGTGTGTGTATTTTTTGCACAAGAACAAATCAGATTTCCAGACACTGGTGTTGAGTCACCTACATTTGCAGACACCACCAGAGGTTCGAGCACTGGTCTGTGCTTAGACATGCACACACAGACACTTTAAAGCTGGTTACAGGCTGCAGAACCACTCGAGCTTAGTGTTAGGGAACCAGGCATTTTATTGTGGGTTGAACTCCAGTGAGGCCAGATTGGCAGAAAATCAATTGCAGACATTTTTCCTTCCAAGTAATGACTTACAACTTGATTTCTGGCCTTCCTTTCTCCCCGCCCCGGCCCCCACTCCCTCTTCCCTCTTCCCAAATGAGGGTCGAAGGCACATAACCCACAGGGTGAAAGAATGCATTGCTTAAACAAAGATGTCTTCTCGTATGGCCTACACACGTAGTGCCTTGAGACGTGCTCCCGACGTGAAAGGCACTTTACAAATGTAATTGGTTGTTGTTGCCACTAGGAGTGTTGCTCTCCCTAATGATACTGGTGGATCTCAGCACCTCTGATGATTGTGTCGCCTGTATGGCCCATCTTAAGTAATCTGCCACCTCATTTGTTGTACATCACTATTGCAGGGATTAGAAGCTGACACTCGGCAGCGTAAGAAGGAATATTTAGCATCCTATGTTACCACCTCTCCACGCTCTCGCTCCAACCCTTTTTCAATAATTGCCACCTACATTTGCCTCCAACTTCTGCAAGAGAATACAATACAATACAAAATTACATTTGTATAGCGCCTTTCACGTCGGGAGGACGTCCCAAGGCACCGAATAGTTTTGAGTCTTTATGCTGTTCGAGACTTGAATTCGCAATAGTCAACAATTAGATACCAAGCGGTTATGCATGGAAACCTTGCATTAAGGATGTTGAAAACGTTTAGATCCCAGATCCTTAGTAAGAACTATTCAACGGGGGGCAGTGAAGAGGCACTTCTCTCTTTGTCTTCGGCAAGGGTTGCATGAAATTGGTTTGAAAGTCTTAACCCATCTGTCCACGTAGGTGCGATTCTGTACTGCACGTCATTCGGAACCCTGCATTAATCGGCAGTAAATTGGCATTCTCACTGAGGCACATCAAGTGATGTGGAACTACATTGCTGCTGAGTGTGGGGGTTGGTGGTGGGGGGATTGGGTTGGGTTTCGTCATGTCTTTGGGCAGGTTAGAGGAGACTTCACAGTTCTTCTGGCTAGTTCTTCCTCAGCACGTCTCCATCTACCCCATTTCTCCCCATCCTATCACTGCCAAGGTGGGTAAATCCACCTCCGACTATAATAATAATAATAATAATATTCCTTGCATTTGATGTAGCGCCTTATCACGTCTTCGAGACGTCTCAAAGCGCTTCGCAGAATATACTGTAAGGTGAATTGACTGTATTTTTTGTGGACTGGAGATTCACCTGCAAAGGGCAATGTTGTTCTTTGCACGTTAGTTTTGAATGGTTTAGCCTCCGTTCACCCAATTTGATTGTGATGATACTTAGTTTCAGTGAAATTAATCGATTTCGATGATCTCCCTCTCTCTCTCTCTCTCTCTCTGTGTGACTTTTTTTTCAATTGAATGACAAGACAAATCTAAATCTTCCTGTTGTGTATAGGCTGGGACAAATCTACCCTTTCTCTTTTCAGAATTCAACCAGACAATCCAGAATACTGGAAACATTATGACAGACAAAAGCAGGCCCGATCAGCTGCTTTTTCTCTTTCCAGAGTTTAATCAGCAAGACCAGACTCCAGGGCAGGCTGAAGAGACAGGCAGTGAACCTGCCAACAAGAAAATGCGTCGCAACAGGTTTAAATGGGGACCAGCATCCCAGCAAATATTGTACCAGGCTTATGAGAGGCAAAAGAACCCCAGTAAGGAAGAGAGGGAGGCACTGGTCGAGGAATGCAACAGGTAAGTGAGGACCAACGAGCTGGTGATTTTAAAGTAGAAGTGAATTAACGATAATAATCATAATCCTTGCATTTGATATAGCACCTTATCTCGTCACTGAGACGTCTCAAAGTGCTTCACGGGATATAATGCAAGGATTATAATCCTTGTAAAATGCAAGGATTATTATTATACGGTCAAGTGGATTGAATGTGTGCTTTGCGGGCGGAATGCGACAGCCAATTGGATGAAGGGGCAGTGGATTTATTTCATAGTCGCGCAAGGGACGATTATTAACGTTCCTTCAAAGAGCCGACAATTTTCATTTGACTTCGGGAAGGTGGCACTCGCGTGTTGCGTCCCTTTCTTTTTTTTTATTGTTGGTTATTTTGGGACAGGTTTCCACGAACCTCGACTTGTTTGAAAAGCAGCTTGATGGTGTGATGGGGGTGGGTGAACGGTAGAGTGATGTCCTGGAGGGATGAGATCAGACGGGCCGAAGTGCCTTCTTCATCCAGACCAACCTTGCGATCTATGAAATCGCAAAATAGTTGCTGAGTGGCAAATGTCTGACATTATTTTGTACAAAAAAAAACGAGCTGTTGGTATTGGATTTCTCTTGAGGTTATTTAGTGTGATTTAGTCACTGAGTTGTGTTGATCGCCAATGGTTAAACACAGCGAACTTTTTCCTATTTCTTTCATATATAAAATAGATCTGATTTTTGGCTCCAGGATCCAGGATTTAGCTATTTAACAGTCAGAATGTTTGATCTGAAGAACGTTTTTTACCATCCGTGTCACTGACATACAATCATGGAGTCTTGTAGCTCAGTGGTTAGAGCACTTGCCTCGCAAGCGAGAGACGTGGGTTCGATTCCCAGCAGGGCGAAATGTTGGGCAAATATCCTTACTTCACATGCCTCTGTTTACATAGCAGTAAGTAGGAACTTGGTTGTTAATCAATTGACGGATCGCTTTTCCGGGGGTAATAATTCCTTAAAAAAATATAATAATAATAAATTAGTCACTTCAATCCACGACTGTTTGTGAGACGCTGCTGTGCTCAATTGACTGCCGCGTTTCATCCACAAAATACACAGTCAATTCACTTTACAGTATATTCTGTGAAGCACTTTGAGGCATCTTGAAAACGTGATAAGGCGCTGTATCAAATTCAATTATTATTATTATTAATAACAGGTGAAATGGCTTGTACCAGCTGATAAGGCAGACTCTTTATAAGGGAGTTGAATTAGTGTATATTTGCTCTGTGCCAATATTTTTACCTACAAAATAGTCATTACACTTTACAGTAAATACTGAGATGTGATTTGATTTGAAACATCTTGATGAACATGATACGGTGCTATATCAAAATGCAAGTATTATTATTATAATTACTGTGTGCCTCTCGCGTTCATTAAAATTTCCTCCCAAATAATTCAAAAACAAAATGAACAGGATTGAAGAGAAGAAAAGCGAATGTTTTGCTTTGACACTTTAACATTCAAATGTATAGTGTAAATTAATCAGAATTGTTTCTGTTGGCTTGAGCTTTGGTAAGACTAAAGCTAGCGAGTTTGCTTTTCAATATACCAAGACTGCATAGTTCACATTTCATATTTTTACCTATTTTAAATCCCATGTGGTGACTCTCTTTATTTAGCCCCTGTGCCCATTATATCAAAGGTCAAATTTTTGAAAAATCCCATTTGATACAGCGCTTCACCTCAACCTCAAGCCATCTCAGGTACCTCACACAATGTGAGTGTAGCAGAACGTAGGACTGAAATTTGTGGGGTTTCATGTAGCGTTTCAAGAACATTTTAGGAAATACTGCCAGTAGAGGGTGCTCCGGAGGGGTTGGGAGCAGGAACCCCGGGCTGTTCCTGTTGAGGTGTGGTTCCGCAGAAACCAGTTGTCTTCCACTACTTTGCCATTGGCAGTGACTGTCGGCCGGCCACTTGACTGTCTAGGACCTCCCTGCTGAGCCTGACCTGGCTGCCACACAGAAACACAACCGGTAGAGGGTGCTCCAGAGGGATCAGGAGCAGGAGCCCTGGCTGGTTTTGCCCTCCCTGATCCTGGGAGGGTCACTTGCCTCCCCATGTAATCCTGGCTGAGATCAACGAACTTAGAATGCTTGATGGTTCATCTCCTGGTTCATAAGCCACAGCTCTGGCCACTATCCCATTGGGGCTGCCCCCAATGAAAGAACTTTCACTCCCGTAATCCTTGCATTTGATAGGGTGCCTTTCACGTTGCGAGGACGTCTCAAAAAAGTGCTTCACAGGATGTGCTGTGAAGTGTAGTGACTGGCATGGTGCAGGCGAACGCGGCAGTCAATTTGAATCCCCCTCGACCTCTTCGGACGTGGTTTGGACAGAACCATTGCCAACATTGTGCTTTCTCATCCTAGGGCCGAATGCATCCAGCGAGGTGTCTCCCCTTCCAAGGCCCAAGGACTGGGCTCCAATCTGGTGACAGAGGTCAGAGTGTACAACTGGTTCGCCAACCGAAGGAAGGAAGAAGCTTTCCGCCAGAAACTGGCCATGGATGCATACACCGTCCAGCCACACAATATGAATCCTCTGCTGTCGCACAGCTCCCCGCATCACATGCACCCCAACACATCGCCCTCCAACAAACACGGTAAGTCTCACATCCAATCCCTTTTAATCCCTGTGGCGCAGGAAGTGAAGAGTCGCTTTGGGTGCCGTCAGGAGTGGCTCAGGGCTGTGCTTATTCCTATAAGTGACGTTTTTTCAAAAACCTTTTAGCAGATGTGATTCGTGTCATGATGATGATGATGATGGTGGTGCTGGTGCTGGTGCTGTCGTTTGTTTGCGACTGACTTCGCCAGCTTGCACTTACATAGCATAGCTTCTTTCACTTGGAAAAAATATCGCCATGCCCGTAAAACTACTACACAGTCAATATGCTTTACGCTACATCCTTGTGAAGCGCTTTGAGGCGTCCTGATGTGAAAGGTGCTGTATCAAATGTAAAGACTGTTGTCAGTATTATTTCAAAGCACTCGACAGAGTTAGGGAGCAGTGAGCAGGCGAAGGCATGGCCAGAAAGAGCGAGAGGGAGAGTCTCAAAGAGAGTTTTGAAGGCAGGAAGAGAACGAGCAAAGCAAAGGGGTTTTGGAAGAGAGCTGGAATGAGTAGGAAGTGAGTGAGGTGGAGGGTCTCCGATTCATCTTTCTTGACGGTGCTTTCAGTCTTCTTTTCCCCCCCGGCCCCCCCACTCCGACCCTCCAAGCAAACCCCACCACCCTCCACCCACTCCCCCCACCCGCGCCCCTCTATATATCATTTACATTTTAAAAATTTGGGAAAAAGGAGAAACGAAGAGTCGAATGAATCAATCGAGCAGAAGCTGAGAGAGCCGTGGGGCAAAATTTTTCATTGTGATCTGCAGAGAGATTGGGAAACAATTCGCATTGTGTGCTGTACCTGCAATTTACACAGGAAAGTCAGCAGGCCGCTGATACACACAATAGAAACTGACAAGAAGTAGGGCTGCACCGAGGTCAACATGAAGTCACTGCCCATGTATTGGGTTTGGTGGTCGTGCCTGTCGCGAGGGGTGATGGGGGGGGGGGGGGAGTGGTTGGGGGGGGGGGGGTGGGGGGTGTGTGTGGTGGTTGGTGGCTCGTCAGAAAAGAGGATTCGTTCTGCTGACGCAGGCAAGCCACGACTCAACCTTGGCGTCACAGGCCACTCACTTACAAGCTGCCCCTACAAGCACGTTGTCAGCAAAATCAGCTGTTTTCAGTGTCGCACTCAGGCTAAAATAATGCAACAGCATGCAGTCAGTGTTGTCATGGCATTGTGTGCCCATTATGCATGCTTAATTGAAAATTAAGCGGGGGCTTTGAGCGGAGCATGTTCCCCTTTGATCTCTGCCGTCCTTCCAGTGTGTACTCAGTCACTGCGTGACAACCTTTGTGTGTCTTTTTTTTAATTTTATATGTTGGGGACAGCATTTGTAGAATCGTATCCCCGTTCCATTTATCCTTTGCCCTAGAAGGCGGTTCTGGATGCCCCTTTATGTCCCCCAGCTCCAGACTTGACCAGCAGGAGCTATCCAAGGACTATGGGCTGCTATGACAGTCTATTCTGTGCTCTCCTTTACACAGCCAGAAATGATGGTCCTTGATGTAGTCTGTGAATGGTGGCGGAAGGGAAGGGCGTGGGTGGGGGGGTGGATAGGAGTCCTGGAAGGCCAGGCATGTCGGAGGCAAGTTTGTGGGGGAATTGATACTGATATTGATTGGCTTTCTCGGAAAAAAACAAGGAGGAAATTAGCTCAGGAAATGAATAATGTAGAACAAGGGAGTACATGAATAAGTCAATGAACTCTTACTCATTTAATGCCCTTTTCCCAGGGCCAGGCAGGTACACAGAGAGAGTCTTTACACATTAACGTTTTGGTAACTCAAGACTGACGTGTTTCTATCTTTTTTTAAAAAAATTATATCAACTACGCCATAAGACCAATTGCATTTATTTTAATTTAACCCTTCAAATGCTAAATTTCCTCTGCAGGTTGCAAAATGGGTTTTGGGATCATATAACTTCTTTCCGCATGAGCTGCTCTCTATATGTCGTTTCGCTCACAAAGTATACAGTCAGATGCAAAATGAAGCGCTTTGAGACGTCTCGAAGACGTGATAAGGCGCTATATCGAATGCAAGGATTATTAATATTATATGGTTAATAATTATTAACAAAAAGCGATGGTTGTTGTTCTGGGGAAGGAAACTGATGGGACTTATTTCCAACAACGTACGATGCCCATGAAATGGATGTTGGATATTTTTATTTGTGCAAGTCTTTGAGTCACAGAAAGCCTTCGGGGTGGGTGGGAACTTTCCGTTCTGGCTGTGGAGGGATGGACATTGGTGGTTCAGGCAAAATGTTCCAGAGGAGGAATACTCAGTGCTGTTTGGAGGTGTAGGGCTCAGTTTGCACGAGCACTTGTCCTAGATGAACATTAATATTTCAAATAGATCATTCATCGGAAGTGTTCACAGGTCGGTGCCATTTGTGTGGTAGCGCCAGTTATGTGGTTGGAGAGGATTCTCATACGAATGCCTTGGTAACTTAAGAATGACGTGTGTTCCACTGTGTAGCTGCATGACTGATTGCGTAAATTCTGTTGCAATTGCGAGAATCGTAAACTCATGGGTGTAAAGCACAACAGCGGAGTTCCACTTGTGTTGTATCAAATAGATTTGTACTCATTCCCTCTTTTGAGTATTGATTAAAATTTTAGTTGAAGCGTCTACATATCCAGCGCAGTGGGTAGCACACTCCACTCTGGAGCAGATGGTCGTGGGTTGAAGACCCACATTGAACTTAAATAGTCTCGGTTGACACTGGGGGAGCGCTGCTGTGGAGGTGCTGTCCTTTGAATGAGACATTAAACCGAGGTCCCATCTCCCTGCGTGTTCAGGGTTGCAAAGGGCACGTTACATAGAATTATATAGACTCCACAGAAGAAAGCTTTTTGGCCCAACTAGTCCTACTCCATTCCCTTCTCCCCTCGTATATACAAGGCAGTATTCAACAAGTACTGTCCTTAAAGAACACACCTTCATGTGATGGTGGATCGATTTTGCTTACACAGAGTTCTTCAACTTTAAAACCTTCATCTTCACTGGCAAAAGCACAAACACACAAACTAAAAGTAGCAGAACTTCTGATATAGTGAAACTAAGGTTAATTCTGATGATAATAATCCTTGTTTTTGATACAATACCTTTCACATTTCAAACCACGTTGCAGGATTTTTACTGTATAGTGTAGTGATTGTGTATTTGTAGGCCAATGTGGCAGGCAATTTGCACACAGCAATGTACTAATGTAATGTAAGCAATGTAAGTGCTCCGAGACTCTGTCCACGTGAAGAGCACTATATAAATGCAAGTAGTAGTTGTTGTTGTTGTACTCCAAACAGAAATGAAGCTAATGATCAATTTTATCTGGAGGATTGTTGGCTAGGACATTGGGAGAAACTCCCTTCTCTTACGTTATATTAAAATACTCTAGTAGTTCATAAAGGTTCTTACAGTCCGGGGAGGTTATCGAACATTGTTTTTGGGAGAATAAATACTTAATTGTGGATAAATGCATTTTATTTTAATGGCCGAGGCAGAATCCATGTTCGCTTTTGACTGGGGCTCGGATAAATATCTGAAAAGGAGCAATATGAAAGGGAACGGGGAAAAGCAAAAAGCTTCAGTTTAATCCCACATCCACGTCATAATCCGTATCTGGCCCCAGAGTACCAAATCATTCTTCTCGTTCTATCCTGATGTCTTGGGTCAGTGAATCAATGCCCTTTGAAGAGAGATGAGTTCTCAGAAAAACAGACCCCCAAAAAGTGGTTTGGGGGGTAGGGTGGGGGGGTAAAGTGCGACCTGTGCAGGGAATCTTCTGTTCATGATTTCGACCCTATGGGATGTCATCTCCAATCAGAAACCCCCAATGAGGTCAACAACAACAGCAGCAGCAGCTCACTCTATAGCGCCTCTCTCACAGGGTAGCGTCTCAGAGCCCTTGTGTCCAGAGACGACGACAACAACAACAACTTGCATTTATACAGCGCTCTTTACGTGGGGTAGCATCCTGGAGCGCTCAATGTGGACCTCAGGATGCAACCTAGCATTTTGGTCAGCTCCATTAAAAAGCATCGACTGAATGTATTGTGTAAAGTTTTACTTTGAGGGCGAGATTCCTCTTACTTTAACGTATTTTTTCTCTTTCCCCCTTCCCCCCCCCCCCCCCCCACCTACCCCCCCCACACCCCCCTCTTTCCTCTCCGCCCGTGTCTTGGGCCCTTGTAGACCACACATCTTCTCTGTCCGACAGGATGGACGGACGTTTAGCGACTAGACCCCTATCAATGCTGCTCAGAGGTATGTCAAGGAACCTACCCCATTATCCTCTCCTGCTGATTTCATCTCTATTCTTCGTTTCATTCTCATTTCACTGCGTGAAACAGTTGCCTGTTTTTCTTTATGACTGCTGTATCTAATCGGATCATCCCTTAACCTCCGAGTCTAGCCCCAATCCCTGAGGTACATTGCAGGGGATAAGAAAAGAAAAACAAAATCCTAAAGTGGAATACGTCAACCAAGTAACCTTATATTTGGGTGTAATATATAAAGAGATATTCCCTGACCATTTCAGGTCGTGCAAAATTTATAATAATAGTCTTCCGCACATATGATATTGTGTCTTTCATGTGGGGAGGATGTCTCAAAGCGCTTCGCGGGACTTTACCATCAAGTGTAGTGTAGTCAAGTGTGTATGTTGTAGACGAGTTTGGAAAATTCGCATGGGAGAAAGGGAATAGAGGGAATTGAGAGGCTCATGTGGAGTACAAACACCGGTGCGGACTAGATGGTCTGAAGTTCCGTGCAATAACTTAAATTCAGCCTTAATTTTGAAGCCTTTTCTTTCTTCTTGGGTAGTCCTTAAGAGCTTGCGGCTTGAAAAGATTTGCAAACTCTGCACGCTATAAAGTATAAAATGAAGGAAAATAGCACGAGTCTGGTTCTGGATGGGAATGCTGTTTGGGAAACTGACTGACGTTTATTAACTCACTGCCCCTCCTCCACACCGGGAGCTAATTTC